ACATCTAGTGTGTCGCATAATACGCTTAGTGGTATGAAAGCAGGGTTCGATTGCCAAGTACGCAACGTTCATGATAATCTGCGGATATAAAGCGGAACCTGACCGCAGCCATGTGCTGCAGCTCACGCTTTTTACAATTAAGATCCCCCAAATCTCCTTTAGAAGGAAGGCGACTTCCATAAAAACAGAAACATCGACTTTTTATCATGCAAATGACGGATAAGCAAAATATGAAAGCCATGCTACCTGCCATCTTACCATGCAATACAAAAGATACCCCCAAAGGCTTGCCACAACCACCAATGTAACAATACCATACGCACCCATTACACAATCACCACCAATAGTTACTATCAGAAGTCTAAATTTTTGCCGCAAAAATCTCCCCTCCGCGGCAACCCAGCAGCGTGGGACTTACACACAACGTGCTCATAGGGATGCGAAGGTTCCAAGGAAACCTTTGTTCTTTCTTGAGTCGCACATCAGCACAGCGTACACCCTCAACAACGAGGCGCACATTCCAGTCCCTGTCCCGCTCGCACGCCCAAGTCGATTCCCAACCTTCAAGTACCATGTCCGGGAACATGGCCGAGGACCAACAAGTCCCTACCAACGAAGCCGACTACTCGACATGGACGACGTCGAGACTTGTCGCCCGAATTACTGAACTGGAACGCCAGTTACACTCCCGCACCGCGGAGTATGCTACACCTCCTGCGAAGCAGCCCGAGGACGCGGCCAAAGACGCAGCCAAGAGTGCACCGAGTGATGGGAAAGTGAACCAGAAGGAGCCTTCATCTCCTGCGGCGGGAGCGGAGAAGAAGAAGCAGGTGAAGCCCCCGAAGCCCCCGAAACCGCGCAGGGAGATCGATCCTTCGAGATATAATACACGCTTCATCGCGTTGAAGTTCGCCTATCTTGGACAGCGGTACAATGGGCTTGAGCATGCGAACGGGAATGCTACGCCGCTACCTACGATTGAGGAGGAGATGTACAAGGCTTTACGGAAGACGCGGTTGATTTTCCCGACCGATACAACTGGTGATGAGTTTGTGGAGAGCTATGCGCCGAGAGAGACGAAGCCGTACTATATCAATTGGGATGGATGTGAATATTCCAAAGCCGGGCGTACGGATCGAGGAGTCAGTGCCTTTGGGCAGGTAATCGGTATTAGAGTGCGGAGTGCACGGCCAAAGCGCAACGAGGTCGTTCAGTCGGACGAGAACGCCGATACCACCATGCAGAATACGGACGAGGCCAATGCGGCGGCCGACGATGGCTGGGATGACGTTAAAGATGAGCTACCCTACGTGAGCATGTTGAACAAGGTGCTTCCTGAAGATATTCGTGTATTGGCATGGTGCCCACGTCCTCCTGAGGGGTTCGATGCCCGCTTTTCTTGCGGGGAACGCCATTACAAGTACTTCTTCACGCAGCCGGCCTTTTCTCCTACGCCGGGTGCTTCGGGCTTTGTGCCGCGAGATGGATCAGGCAAGCCTCCGAAGCTGAGAGAGGGTTGGTTGGACATTGAAGCGATGCGCAAAGCTGCGAAGTATTTCGAAGGTACACACGACTTCCGGAACTTCTGTAAATTGGACGTGACGAAACAGATTGAGTCTTTCTACCGAGACATCTTCCGTGCTGATATCGAGCTTCTCGATGCTCGCACCAATCCCCTGGGCTATGTGACGCAGCCAGAATTCCAGGCTAGACCAGCCTCGGGTGCGGATGAAAGCGCAGAGTCTTCAGCGGCACCTCTGCCAACAGCAGCGCAGGTATATGTCTTCCATCTGGAGGGTTCTGCTTTCCTGTGGCATCAGGTCCGACACATGGTCAATGTCCTTTTCCTTGTCGGTCAGGGGCTCGAGGAACCCTCCATCGTACAGGATCTCCTTGACGTGACTAAGAACCCGCGAAAGCCAACCTACGAGATGGCTTCCGATGCCCCCTTGGTGCTTTGGGACTGCATCTACCCCGATAAGAAGAGCGGCAGCCGTGCTGATAGCTTGGATTGGGTTTATGCGGGTGACGTTCGACAGATCAAGTCTCACCTCGGCAAGGGAGGTGGCAAGTTTGGTCTTGGAGGAATCGTAGAGGAGCTCTGGTCCGTTTGGAGGCAGCGCAAGATGGAGGAAATCTTGGCTGGCGCATTACTAGACTTGGCCGTCAGTCAGGGCGACAAGAGTCTCACCATTGGCGATGGAGTCGAGCCAATCTGGGAGAGAAAGAACCGGGGTAAGAAGATCTTTGTGGGGTCTAATGAAGCCAGAACCGGCGGGTACTATGTTCCAGTCATGCAGAAACGAAAGACGGAGCTCGTGGAAGTCCAGAATGCGAGGTGGCTGGCGGCAAAGCAGCGCAAGATAGAGAATGGCGCAAAGGCCACCAAGATGGAACAGTAGACAGAAGACTGTATATACTCACTTCTCGAATATATGTGCAAGATGGCCCACCTCTCAAGCAGAAAGCTATTGATTCCTCAAAAGACGTGAAGCTGGGCTCCATTATGACTTCGAATCATACAAACAGCTCCGTGAACCCCTCCAGACCTCCTCTAGTATTTGCCGATTTGGTAACAATTTCTGGCTCGCATTAGAAAACCGACATGGCAGGTCCTACGGGTAGGTGCTGAATAGGTATCGGTAGGTACTCACAGGGAACACCACAACCACTTCGCTTTCACCTTCGACGATTACTGCCAGGTAGAACCTAACCTCAAATCCCTTGAAAGCTTCATGTATCACGATATCCTGAATCTGTGTAGTAGGTATGAACCTCGTCGAAGCCTTTGATAGGTAGGTCTGGGAGGAGGTAGACGTCTGAATACCGAGGCCGCGTATAACCAGGAGCGACTCTTCTGTTTCGGAGCAAAGCGCAGTCAGTACCAAACCTATCCATTTCCCTGAAGATCGTCTGGGCGAACCTGTGTAACCCTTCCTGAAAACACCGTAGAAAACTATTGCGCTGGCCAAAACTACCACCGCAGAACTGTACGCATCGGCGATGCGACAAACGGATATCCCCAGCGCACTTGACCAGATTGTTGTCCAACGTATCCATGAGCCATCTTCCATAAAGAATGTACGGCGGAACTTCGCAGCATCAAGGAGGAGCACACAGAAAAAGGTCACTGCGCGCAACAATATTTGTAGGTAGAAGAAGGCCTTTGCTGGCGTGCTCGTGCGCCTGGGGGCATTGGAAACTGTGAAGGAGACGGTCGTCGGCGATGGACGCCGTAAAATAAGGCGACTCGGCATTTGAGGCAATATCAATGTTCAATTTTCGTAGAAATATCCCATTGATGCGCGCTAATTGAGAAACACGCAGAAGCTTCCAGTCATTGAAGCCATAATGTCTGGCATGTAGCTTCGGGACTCTCTCCGCGGGATATCGGCGTTCTTCAGTCTAGTCCCCTTACGGCTTAGGTGTCTCACCTCCATCGTCGGGCCTCTGCGATACGGCGTCACGTGTTTATTGTTGCATCTCCTAATCTTAGACGCTTGTCCTACGCATTGCCCAACTTCGTTGCCTTATCAGTGGCCGTTGTAACGTTTCGGGACCAGGCTCCCAGGGGTGTGCTTTGGTGACAAGAGCCGGAGTCCCATGGCCGGCCCTCCAAAAGAAGTGAAACATGAAAATCTTGGTATAGATGAGCAGGGATCACAGTCCATGGGTCAAAAACAGGTTAGTCTCTCTCCGCTTCAGAGATGTCTTTGATGAAGAGAGTGGGGTTTTAAGGGGTAGCAACAAAACTAAACAGTGCTCAGCAGAACAGTGACAGCTGGCCCACGAAGAAACTACAAACTCTTGCTCTCGGTCTTCATCTGCACTTCAACAACCAACTTACACACTACGACTGACTTGAAAATATAAACTAGCTAACTACCAGTTTTTACAGTTAGCTGAATACTCTTGCGGCTGTTCATCCGGAACATGTGAGTATGGCCATCCCAAACAAGTAGATCTGTGAGCCAATTCCCCCCAAACCTTCAAATGAAGCTCAATCACATACCGAGCTCGAAGCACCTCATAAGGAGATGTGTTGCTGACCAGAAAATCAATAGGTAGCTTAAGCAAGCCAATAAACGGCTTCTGTTGTTATATGAGACTCCAGGCTTCCGGGTTGCCTACATCTGGGTATCTCGGCCTGAGCGATGGGAATACGGAGGACTGAATGGAAATCCAGCCTTTTCTGTTTCCTTGTTGCTTCTGGGATATTTTTTTTCCTATCATATTTAGTTTCCATGTACCTACCGGCAAATGGAGACTACTCATCTTGGTGTAATGCGCCAGCTGCCATCTGTAACGGACAAGGCGAAAGTTGAATACCTTCCTTTTTTTACTTTCTTTTCTTGCTATCTTTCCAGTTTGGTGCAGACAGGGAATTAACGACTGCACTATTTCTTGGCTTACCAAATGTTGATTGCTTGAATGGTGGTGTGCATCACCCCTTCATTCCCTCGATCGACTATTACTTGAGCATCCCCAGGTTCCAGGAAGGACAAGGCTGGAGAACAAGTCCGGGTCATTTTTAGTGTGGCTGCGGGGCCGTTGAATGCGTCGATGGCGACCAGACATTCCTAGCCCGATAGGGCAAGTTGCAGCCTGAGGCTCATAACGGCAGACACCCGAGGCTGCAGCAACGCCGGTTCCACTCGCGGGAGAGGCATTTTTTTTTTCGGTCGTCTCTATGGCGGACTCACACGACTTCGATCTCTCCGTTTCAATGTCTTCCCCATACATTCGCTTGGACCCCGTTCCTGAATCCCCGCCATGAGGTAGTTGCCTGTCTGTCCTCGCCACGAGATTACTTATTCTTCTTTTGCTATCTCCAAGCTCGTCTTTTATCGTGCTAATCTCACCATTCCTCCCGCCCCTCCAGATCCGCCGTTTTACCAGATTTTCCTCCTTTGTCCCCGCTTCCGAATCGGTCATCTTCTCCTGTGACTCTTTATCCTCCCAGCTTCCCACAGCCTTCCAAGTCTGAAGAACAGTCCAATATGGTCCGGAACATCGTTGTTATCGGGGGCACTTCCCACCCGCAATTGACTCAGACCATCTGCAACGTGCTGGGCATCCCGCCGGCAGATGTTCTGCTGTCGAAATTCTCCGTGGGTGAGACCCGGGTGGAGATCAAGGAATCCGTCCGTGGAAAGGATGTCTATATCATTCAGTCCGGTGGTGGAAAGGTAAATGATCTCCTTATGGAGCTTCTGATTACCATCTCGGCTTGCAAGACCGCCTCCGCCAAGAGAGTCACTGCGGTCCTCCCGCTTTTCCCGTACTCGCGTCAGAGTGACATTCCCTACAACAAGACCGGAGCTCCTTTGGTCAAGTCATCCCTTGCGGGGAGGCAAGGCAATAACTACACCTTTGAGAGTACCCCGCCTACCCCACTTCCGGGGAAGTCCGAAACTGGAGGTCTTTTGAACGGTCTGAACGGCGTCGATAACCTGCAGAAGAGCCTGGCCAAGGCTCAATTGGAAGATATCAGCAATGGCAGCCCTGTGAAGAAGCAACGCCCGGTCAATGGTCTTCCCCGCAGCGATACCATGGAGTCCCTGCAGTCTGAAGGTAACAGGTTCGCACTCAACGGTGCCGACGAGAAGATCAACAACTTCCAACCCCGCCCCGGCTACAAGCAGTGGGTGGCTCAGGCCGGTACCTTGGTCGCGGACCTGCTCACCTGCGCTGGTGCAGACCACATTATCACCATGGATCTCCATGACCCTCAGTACCAGGGTTTCTTCGACATTCCGGTTGACAACCTGTACGGCCGCCCACTCCTCAAGAGCTACATCCAGCGGAACATCCCCAACTACAAGCAGGCTGTGATCGTCAGTCCCGATGCTGGTGGCGCGAAGCGTGCTACGGCGATTGCCGATGGCATGGGTGTTGAATTCGCCCTTATCCACAAGGTTAGTATTCGGCCTACTGACTTTTTTACATGGAAATCCTAACCACTTTCAGGAACGTCGTCCTACCCGTATAACGGATCGACAGAACGCTACCATGATGCTGGTGGGAGATGTTAAGGATCGGACGGCGATCCTGATTGACGACCTGGCGGACACGTCGAACACCATTACCCGAGCGGCGAAGCTCCTCAAGAAGGAAGGAGCTGCACAGGTTTATGCTCTGGTCACCCACGGAATCTTGAGTGGAGATGCCATTGATCGGATCAATGCTAGCGCTCTCGATAAGGTGGTGGTTACAAACAGCGTTGACCAGGCAGACCACTTGCGCAGATGCCCCAAGTTGGAGGTTTTGGAAGTCGGTCACGTTTTCGCTGAGGTAAGTTGTGTCGGAGCTCCAGCCTTAAAGGCATAGCTAACGAACTGTAGGCTATCCGCCGTGTCCACCACGGTGAGAGTATCAGTACTCTTTTCCAGTACGACTAAACAAATCATTTGCATGCGATTTTTCTTTCCCATGGCAGGGATAGATGACACCTTTTGAAAAAGGAGTGACGAATTGAGGTTATATCTTGATGAATTTTCTTTATATTGTCTTTGACATTTGCTATACTACTTTGGTTTCCATAAGCATACCATCGCATACCATCTATCACTTTTTCTGAAACCTACTCAACGGAGCCTGAGAGGAACGGATAAAGACACACCCCAATGTGTTCCCAATGCACAGTTATGACTCCCTGGATCCATCTTCTCGTGACTTCGCTCATGTTTCACACGTTTAATGCTGTATGAGAATCTCGGGGCTTCGTTGTTCTGACACCTTGTGTGTCGCCCTTAATTTTGGGTTTTCCACTTTGGATCGCGACTGTCTGGACGTTTTCTGTAGACAGATTGGCTCAGAGCTTAGCACATGTCCATGATCATGAACACATACATTCGAGAAATGCTGGCTACTCTAGCATCAATGTCGTCTGTTCTTATTCTACTCATAATACCACAACAATAACAACCACAATCTCAGAGTAGATAATGTCGGCGTTATCTATATAATATATCACAAGAAGCGAAAATCCCAAAACGCCGTGGGGTCAAGGATAGAAAAGATCGAAGAGCCAAAACAACTAGCATGGACATGCTGGGCCGATTTATGCGCTCATTACATGGACTGGGTACTAACTAGACACAGCGGAAATGGGAGGAGACAAAGGCGCCCTAGAGTCACACGTGCAACGGGTGCGGGGAAAGAAGTACATATTTTGGCGGATAGTTCAAGAGAGAGAAAGGACAATGACGGGGTAACAACAAAGAGATGGTATCTAGAAAACGGAAATGAAGTTTCCAATTCTCTCCTTCTGGTTTTGGGCAATGCACTCGGCAATCCATGTGACGTTGCGGATTTCCTGCGATACATTGTTAGTAGATGTCAAATTGGTCTGGGTGAAACGGTAACTCACCTGCTCCTTCAGTCTCATCCACGCGTATACCACGGCCGGGGTGAACTGCCGTGTGAAGACAACCTTGCTCAGCTCCATCTCCTTCTGGTAGAACAGGTCCTCCAGACTCTTTCCATCCGACCCACCCATGCCACCTAGACCACCACCACCCTGAGTGAGACCAACAGCATCAAAGAACGCCTTGTAGTCCGCAGAAATGCTCACAGCCAGGGCCACAGATTCAATATCATCAGCGCGCGAGAGCATCAGCGATCCCTCTGGATACAGCTTGCCAAATTCCGGGTACAGCTTCTTCCGCTCTTGCTTCGACAGCTCCGTTCCAAAGGAGTTCAAAGTGATGTTGATGGCACGGCGGTCTGCCTCGAACTGCAGGATCTCGGACATGACCTCTTGTGTGGGAGTGCCCTTGAAGTCAGGGTGTGTGGTGACGAACTGGTGGAAGTCCTCCAAGTAGTTCTTGTAGAGCGTGTTGCGCACGATTTCAATGTTCAGTTCATCCAGATCCTGATGGCTCAGACTGCTCTTGAAGTAACCGGCCAGCGGCGTCTCAACCAGCACAGAGTTGTAGAGTTCTTCGATGTTCGTGGCGACGCAAAGAACAGGCAGCGTCTCGAACCAGCCTAGGGGGTGGCATCGCTCGAGGAGCTCGCGAGTGTCACGTTCGTGCAGAGTACCGGTGATGAGCAGTGCGATGTTGTCGATCATGTACCCGTACGTAAGGTATTGCAAGAATTTGGCGGTCGACCCCGTGGCCTGCGCGAGGAGGTAGCGGAACTCAGCGACCAGCTTATCCGTCATCTTGCCCGCAAGGGCAGAGGTAGAAGGGTTGGGAGGGAGGGAGGCGAGGAAGTCGCCATAGGCGGGGGCGAGCTGCAGTTTGACATCTGATAGAAGCAAGGTAATGTTAGAATTATCAAGGGAGTAAGAGAGCAGTTGCAGATCGACGGACCATCAATCGTCTCGCATTGGGTCAGGTTGGAGTAGTGTTGGCCGGTTAGGAGGCTGTTCCGATAACCACGGACAATACCCTCAATATAACTGTGAACGTTCAATCAGCGACCTGAAGGGGCGAACTTGCAAAATGCGACAGTGAAACAGACATACCCGCTGTTGACGTTGAAAAAAAGACCCTCCATGGTGGGCTAGCAGATGGGCAGAAGTCCAGATGTCCACTTACAAGCTCTCCGCAGTTGATAGACTGACGACCACTCGTCGACGCATCGGCATCCCGTGGGGCTTACATAATCTGAGCGTTGCACCAGCCACGGGCGGCGGCACCACCAGCCACACTCGGATGGCGCTTTTCGCTTTTTTCACTTTTTAGTTTCTTGAGGTTAAAAAATATTCCCAGCGGATTTCAGTCCATCCCGTCCAGCACGCCAATTCCCTCCCACCCCCCGGCCTTTTCTTTTCCCTTCTCACCTCTAGCTGTTCCTCTGTCTTTTTTCTTGCAGCTAGAAGTCGAGGCCGTGCACCATGACGCTCTTTATCCTTACGGAAACCAGTGCGGGTTATGCCCTGCTCAAGGCCAAGGACAAGAAGCTGTTGAAGAGAGATGATCTGGCTACTGAGGCTTCCACCGCAGAGGGTGTTTCTAACCTGTAAGTGCATTCTCATGCATTGTCTACTTCATTCGCCCCCGATTGTCCATTATCTGCGCGTGGTGTCTCAAAAGCAAAAATTTTCCCCCACCGCGTCTGGACCCCGGCTAACCGCCGCAATTGTAGTCTGAAGTTGAAGAGCTTCCAGAAGTTCGACAGCGCTGCTACCGCCCTGGAGGAGGTCGCTTCCCTCGTCGAAGGAAAGGTCACTCCTCGCCTGGCCAGCCTTTTGGACGAAGTCAAGGATGAGAAGAAGGTTTCTCTGGCTGTCGCCGACCCCAAGCTCGGTATGTGGCGCAAACTTGTGCAGAACCTCAGGATGAAATTTTCGTGTGACTGACTGGAATTGGTAAAGGCAATGCCATTGGCAAGCTCCCCGGTCTCTCCATCGAGCTGGTGGCCGACTCTTCCACCACCGATGTCTTCCGTGCCATTCGTGAACACCTGCCCACCCTCATTCCCGGCCTTCTTCCTCAGGACATGTCCACCATGTCCCTTGGTCTGTCGCACTCTCTCGCTAGACACAAGCTCAAGTTCTCCCCCGACAAGATCGACACCATGATTGTTCAGGCCATTGGTCTGCTTGACGACCTGGACAAGGAGCTCAACAACTACGCCATGCGTGTGAAGGAATGGTACGGATGGCACTTCCCTGAGCTGGCGAAGATCCTGAACGACAACATTGCCTACGCCAGACTCGTCCTTAAGATGGGCATGCGCACCAACTGGGAGTCTTCCGATCTCGCTGAGATCCTCCCCGAGGAGATTGAGGGTGCCGTCAAGGCTGCTGCGGACCGCTCCATGGGTACCGAGATCAGCCAGGAGGATCTGGAACACATTCAAGCCCTGGCCGAGCAGGTCGTTGGCTTCGCTGAGTACCGTCAACAACTGGCTGGCTACCTTACCGCCCGTATGAACGCCATCGCCCCCAACCTGACTGCCCTCGTCGGTGATCTGGTCGGTGCCCGTCTTATCGCCCACGCTGGTAGCTTGACCAACCTGTCCAAGAGCCCCGCCAGTACTATCCAGATTCTGGGTGCCGAGAAGGCCCTGTTCCGTGCTCTTAAGACCAAGCACGACACTCCCAAGTACGGTCTGATCTACCACGCTTCCCTGATCGGCCAGGCCACCGGCAAGAACAAGGGTAAGATGGCCAGAGTTCTGGCTGCCAAGGCCTCCCTTGGTCTGCGTGTGGATGCTCTCGCTGAGTGGGACGACGATGCCACTGAGGAGGACAAGGCTGCTCTCGGTACGGAAGCCCGCTACAACCTCGAGCGCAAGCTTGCCGCCATGGAGGGCAAGCCCCTCAAGCCTCGTGGTACTGCCATTGCCCCCAACGGCGCTCCTCAGGCCCAGAAGTTCGAGATCAACGAAGCCCGCAAATACAACGCCGATGCTGATGCTGTTACGGGCGACGAGCCCGCTTCCGCCAAGAAGAGCAAGGGCAAGAAGCTCGTAGAGGAGGTTCAGGACGAGGAGATGGCCGATGCTGACTCCGATGAGGAGTCTGACTCGTCCGACGAGGAGACCGACAAGAAGTCCAAGAAGAGCAAGGACTCTGAGCTCGAGAAGATGGCCGAGAAGGCCGGTCTGAGCCTCAAGCGGTACAAGCGCAAGCTTGAGCGTGGAGAAATCCAGTTCGACGCTGAGGGCAACCCCAGCGCAGTCAGCAAGAAGGACATCAAGAAGGCCAAGAAGGAGTCCAAGAAGTCGGCCAAGGGTGAGGAGAAGAAGCGCAAGCGGTCAGACGACGGTGAAGTCGACAACTCCGAGAAGAAAAAGAAGAAGAAGAAGAAGGGTGAGGAGTAAATTCGAATGAAGTCCTCAAACAAAAAAGTTTCACAATCACACACCTGATGGGAATGCTTCAAATTTCTGTATGATATCACACCATGTGGGCCGAATTTCTTCTCTTTCTTTCCTCTTTTACTCTCTATCTCTGTTGCTATTTTGCTTGAAGATTATATGTTTGGGTGGCATTTGATGGATGGATCTTACTATCATCCCCTGGCGCAGAGGTGCTTGTTGGTATAAGGCAGTTCAAGTTCCAGAAATAATGTTCTTTCTGAATTGGATTTTTCCCATGGTAGTATAGTAATGTTTGTAGTTGCAATGGTTGATGTTATCTAGACCAGTCTATTGCAGCTAGACTTGTACTCTTGGCTGATAAATGACCATGACTACTGGCCCATATTAACTGCAACACAATCAACTCCATTAGAGGTTCGTTTCAGCTACACAGAGTGAACGTGCCATTGTATTAGCTTCTGTAATTCGAGGCCAGCATGGTTTAAAATCCCTTTTTCCTCATCTTTAGTATGCAATGATTCGGCTTTGAACATCAAAGACAATTGTCCAAAAACTTTTGCACAGCAAGCGGAGTAGGTGACGCTACAAATACTAATTCCTATCTCTGATTCCCCCCGTTGGACGCATTTACCTCATCTCTCTACTCCATTTCGTCTTATGCAGAGCCAATTGAGTGCTAAAGACACTAACTACTACTGTCTATCTATTCTACTCTAGCGGCTATTAGGCGTAAATAAATAAAGAAAGACAAGATACAAGAATGACAATGCTCCATTGACTGATCATCATCATTATCGATCACATTAAGGTTATTCTATCTCATGAACATAGAAATACAATGTAAAAAATCTTTATGCCACAGCTCGCAGGGGCTAGGCTCTATAAAACATGGTAACGATGGCAAGATCAGTGCAGAGCAAGGATCTTAGCAACAGCAGCCTCGGCAACAACCATGATAGTGGCCTGGATGTTACCGGTAGGAAGGTCAGGGTGGATACTGCCATCGACGATGAACTGTACAAGATACAAGTTAGCATGATGGGTCTCAACAGTGAGGAGCAGGGCAGCAGTGGGGATGGGGATGTACATACCAGGTTGTCAGTGCCATAGACCTTGGTGTTGAGGTCAACGACCGAGGAGCCGTTGTTGTAGCGGCCATCGTCCGTGCCCATCTTGGCCGAGGTAGTGTAGTGCATACCAGGGCTAACGCTGCCGAGGATGGCGGAGACGTTGGTGTAAGTCTCCAGCTGGAATCCGGTAGAGGGGGCAGTCAATTCTCCGACGATCTGCTGGAGGAAAGCAGTGGCGGCAGCGCGATCACCAGCGGTGGTGAGGTAGGGAGACTTGTCCCAGACGGTGGAGCCATCAGTGTCCAGGCCGAGCACACCGGAAGAGGTGAGACCGTGGGTCATGTAAGCGGTGATGGTGACTTCGTTGGTGTCGGAGGGAGCACAGGAGCCCTGGTAGTAGCGCTTCTGGCCGTCGACGACGTTGGAGGTGAAGAAGATCATGCGGTGCTTTCCTTCGGTGAGGAGACCGCTGCCCTGGGCGTAGAGGCTGATGTCAGAGACATCGGAGCCGTTCACGATGGCGTCGTAGTCGGGAAGGCCATAGCTGGTGCCGTTGGTCTTCACGATGATAGAGAAGATAGGGTGGTCCTTAGCACCGATACCGACGGGAAGGTTGATCCAGTCCTTCTTGGGGGGGACGATCACGCCGCTCTGCTGGGCGATCTCAATCTGAGAGCTGGGTCCGATGCCGGAGTTGAAGAGGATACGAGGAGTGGAGAGAGCACCGGCAGAGAGGACGACTCTTCCGTTGGAGCCCAGAGTGATGTTCTCGCGACGGCCGAAAGAGTTCTCGACCTCCACACCAGTCACCTGGCTGCCGGCGCGCAAGAGGCGAAGCACCTTGGTGCCGAGACGGAGGTTGAAGTTCTTGCTCTTCTCAGCCAAGGGCAGGTACGTGCGAACGGGACCAGCACGCATCTGGTCCTTGATGTTCCAGGCAGGGTAGCTGTAGACCTCGTGCTTCTCGTTGGGCTCGGCAATCATGTCGACGGACTTCCAGCCAATCTTGTTGAAGAAGTTGGAGAGGACGGTGTAGAGACCCTGATCGTAGCGTTTGCCATCGGCGGAGGGCAAGATGGTTCCGGGGTTGCGCTCATAGAGCCTGTCTGCAGCAGACTTCACGTCGTCCCATTTCCATCCTTTGGGCCACTTATCGTTGAAGTCATGGTCCGGCGGGTGAACGAAGACCATGTAGTTCAGGGTCACACCACCACCCAGCACGCAACCGGCATAACCGGCGACATCAGAGCAGAGGTATTCCTCCCACTGATGCAGGGCACCAATGTCGGCAGACAGACCAGGCAGGTCAACCGCAGTCAAGGTATTGTTCCAGACGAGGGTTTCGTTGGATCCAGTAGCCACGGTAGGTCCATAGCCTCTCTCCAACAGCAACACGGTCTTGTTGGCCTCGATCAAGCGTTCGGCAGTGATGATACCAGACGGTCCACCACCCACGATGATATAGTCATACGAACTACCCTTCGGCGAGGCGTGGACACGGGGAGAGGCCACGGCCCCGATAGCGGAGCCAGTGGCAAGGAGGCCTGCAAGCAGGAAGGATTTCATGGTGAGAATGTTTTTGGGTGAGGATAGAGATTCTCATCCAGCCATGGTGAAATGGGCAGGTCCCTTTATATTTCCATAGGGCCCGCGAAGGTCCCGGAAAAGCGCTTTTTGGGCACGCGCCAATTTGCCTTCTTCGTTTCCACTTAGTCAATTACTTGCTAGCTCCTCAGGAAAATGAACCCGATCATGTCATAAGAGTAGCCAAATTGACTCTTTTCCGCTAGCTCCGTACCAAATCCCTCCGATGTACTCGCAAGTCCCACTACCCAGGTCCCTCAATTACTCGGATCCTGTGGCCTGAGTCTGTATGTCGAAGAATATTCTCGTTTCAGTGGACCGCCTCCCGATGACGATCGTTTCCTCATTCGCCGTTATCTGATCGTTGTAGATGCCATTATTGCACAGGTGAACCGATGAGGTGGGTAGGCGAAGACAACCAGCGGCGACATTGCCTTATCATTGGCAAGCGAACTTTGGGTTCAGTGGATCCCGTGAAAGCGCCAGCCGCTTCTAGCGCGAAGAAGACGGATTTCAAAAGCCTGACAAAGCCAGGTTTCTAGGGGAGAGTGGATATGAGAGCCTTTGGTGCACAATTTGGAAGTGGATATCTTAGTCAAATTCGGTCGAAATCTTGGCGGTTGAATAGGCGAAAACAGATGAGTGAGGGTTGACAAATGATTATTCACCGTCCAGTCCGCGTCTCGCTGTCCCACTCGCCAACTCGGTAGGCATCTCTGCTCTGGAACTTGGTTCAGGGTTCACGTCTCGCTTGCACCGGGCCGTACGGAGTTGATTAATCGCAGTGGTTGTCGGGCTCGCGAAAAAGGCCGGACGACACGGATGGTGGACAGACACAGAACTCATGATTCAAGTCTGTCGATTGACTTTTTCCCTGTGTAGCTTATCTCGACGTCTGCAGTCAGCTCTGTTGTGTCGACGCAGTCAGCCCTAGCATTAGTGCCGGCGACTTTATGTTAAACAAGCTAGCCAGTAGCCTGGATCCTGCAAGAACAAATGCTGGTCTGGCTAAGCTTTCCCCCCTTATCTCATGCATACTCTCACCTAGCCTAGTTTCAACTTAATCTGATGTGATGGTTCAATCGCCAATATTCGATAGACCATAGTCGAGAATGCAATCAACTATCATGTGAATCCAACACCTCAATTCGAGATAGTGGTGGTGCCATCTGAGCATGTTGATGAATGTAGATAAGAGATGAAGTGGTTGCATTGCATTTACTGCCTGCAAGCACGTGCAGGTGTCTGCAGCAAGCCAGCCGCTAACCCCCTGCATATGATGGTATGTCCGCTATAGCATCATCATGGATCCGGTGTAATCCATCCTATCCCAATCTAGTTTGATCTCCGCAGTGGTTTCTGTGCTGCTCTAAATCCCATAATGGATCCCAATGCGCTCTACATTGCGCTCTTCATTCGTGATGATCCTCCTAAACCCAACGATTACCACTGGGCGCTCTACCACCACCGCATCAACAGCGGCATCAAGTACCATATCACCAATGAAGGCAACGGCTGCATTCCCGGACATGGCCCTGAATCGGGCACCGGCATCCTGAAAGCCTTCCTCCTTGTGGGTCTGATTCAGATCGCGACCATACCGTCCACTACTTCAGCGCAGGAGACTTTAGACCGAGTCTGTCGAAGCTACGACGGACATCTGAACGACAACGAGAACAGGACATGCCGGACGTGGCTACTGGATGTGTTAAGGGATCTACAGGAGCAGATGGGTGTGCTAAACGGAGTTGACATCAAATCACTAGAGAAAGAAGCGATGGACTGGGGCAATCACTACGCATATGAGGCCTGCCAAAACGTCCAACCAAGACCAGTGGGGAAGAGCATGTACATGTCGTGAGGCATTCGTTTACTTAGTTCTATTCTAATCCTTATTTCATTCGAGAGACTTAATTCATTGCACCAATATCACTATTTACAGTATGCCAACTCCTCTCACCGCTCTACCATCAATGCCCGGCAGAATCAGCCCATTTCCCTCTCCGCCCCGCATTCCAGCACTTTTTTTCCCGCGTCGCATTATCCACCTATCAATCAGCCAATATTCCCCCAAATTTGCACAATTAGACTATCACAATGAGGGTAAAACTTGATCCAATGGCCCTTGTTATAGAATACCATACTAAGTAGCGAAATACAGATCGTCGATCCCCAATCCGCCACCCTCACCAACATAGAGGTCCTGGCCTATCTAACGGCCAACCCACCACGGCGACCACCGAACCCACCGCCGAACTCCAGAAACTGGGTTCCCAGTCCGGATCTACGAGACCACAATACCGTTGTTAAGGAGGTGCGCATTCCCTTATAGAATTACAATCCACAAGTTATGTGTTTCTCTGTCGGCTAGCTATGCGGTGCTGGATACATTGCCTGGCTAGTTAGACGGTTCCCGAGCTACGCACCACCCAGCTGCGGAGTACACACTCTTTCTTGCAGCAAATATACATACATGCACAAACCGGAAAAGCTGACTCTTGACGAAAACTTCAGATCCACAACTACGTCACCCGACTCTCCCCCCATCTCCTCAACTACCCCAAATACACGAACCTCACCCCCGCCCAAATACAAGCTCAGGCACAGTCGACCACAACAACAGCCATCCCACCATCCCAGATCAACGCCCCCACGCCGCTCGACCATGCGCTCCGGGAGCTCGTCACCAGGTTACAACCCTACGGGCTGACCAAGGGTGAGGTGCTGATGATCGTGAACCTGGGGGTGGGGTTACATGCACCGGCGACGGAAGGCGAGGATGGTGAAGAGGCGGGTGAGGGAGGGGAAGAAGAAGAATATGATGAGAATGCGGAACAGCAAGTTAATGGTGGAGAGGATACGAATGGGATGATGGAGGTGGATGGGGCCGAGGAAGGACAGGCAGGTGAGGGGGAAATACCAGAAGAGGATTACGGGGCGTTGGCGCTGTTGGATACGGTGATTGAGGAGCGCGAGGAGAGATTGAGTAATGAGGATGTGAACAATGTTTTGGCGATTATTCGGGAGACGTTGGGGTCGGGGATGAAGGGATCGGAGGGGGAGGGGATGGATGAGGAGGGATAGATTTTTTTTTTTGTGCGGACCGTACTACTACTATATATACCATGATTCTATGGCTACTGACTACTAAACTTGGTAGTTCTTTTATGTGGATTATTACGTTGCATGTCATAGTACTAACGAAGTGTAGCATATTCTATCTATTCTATACAGACCCTGGTATATAATGAAGTATCCCGTAGATACTCTCCGGCATCCCGACTCAAGAAGAAATATCATACAATAGAACGATTAGCCTTTACGCCTGACTGCGATGAAACCAGCAAAGCAAAGAGGGTAAGGCCAAGCACATATGCAAAAGCATCACATCAGATCCACTTCGCTCAAAATCGATAATTCATGAACCCCAAACACCATGTAGATATGCACGGCCATAACTGATGGCAACTTCTTGCTGCGGTTTGCAGCTTCACAGTATAAGGAAATATGCAGAATGAACAAACGGGCCACAATCGTGGATAAAAAGTAGGCCCACGCCTGCCATTTCACCAAAGGTGAATCGGCAGGCGGTAATCATCTCTCAAGAGCCAGTCTCGGAGATAGATCACCAGATGCCTGGCTTTTCTTTACCCTTGATGACATTTCCGAATCGATTGTAAACCGGCTCGTCAGCGTCTTCACCACTTTCTTTGCCAAAGGGACCGAAATCATCATCGAACAGCTCTTTGTCATAGCTTCCACAAACCTCAGTGTAGGCCAGCCATTCACCTTTGTCGGTCCAGAGACCCCCCTTGCCCCCGCGCATGTCCCACCATTCTTGTCCTCCCAAGAGGGAAGATTGGGCGGCGTCGAACCCATTCGGGGTGCGCATGTACTTGCGGAGAAGGGCACGAGCCCATGGTTGATACCACATCTCTGACCACCACTTGTCAAGGACAGAGTGATCCCCATCCACATGCAACAGGGCCGGTACAGATGCCGAGTGAATGTTGGTCATCAAGGGGAGGTTGTGCCAGGTATGATTGCGCGGGTTCGGAAGTTTGTCGAGTGTCTCATTGAAAGGCGGGTTCAACCAATCATCCTTGCCAAATTTGGGCTGGATGAATGGGTTACCGATGCTCTCAGGTGTGATATCCGAGGGGATCAAGAGGCGTTTTTCTCTAGGGACGCCATGTTGCATCTGCACTGCCGAAGTCTTGGTGACATTATTGTAGTGAAGCCACTCGACATCCATCTTGGCGTTGCGCATGTTGAAAAACAGACGGGATTCATAGTCGACTCCAATGCCATATTCATAGCGGGTGCCAGACTCGAGGCGCGGTTGGGCAGCTCCTGTGATATTGGAAGCATCAGAGATGCCTATGAGTGTGTAGAGCCATTCCATGAATCCATTCGCAGAATCCCGCCTCTCAAGCTCCCGCACATATTCCTGTCGGCCAAACATTTGCGTCATAGCTAGGTAATCTCCCCGTGCGTTGCGGTGTTGATGCACGAACCGCAGAACCTCGGCGTATATTAACTTGAGATCAGCTGCCTGACCAACTACCGCGCCAGGCTTAAGCCAGCGCGGCCGATTCAGATGTCCTTGTGGGTGGATATCCGTCTTCCACCCATAAGCGTCCGGGGGGAGGCTAGATTCTGGGACTGTCACACACCCTGCATCTAGGGTGAGCCCGGGGAAACATTCTTTGCTCGCTGCAAACAAAACTCTCTGAGAGTATTTTTGTATCGTTTCTTGCGAGCCTGTACGGTACGGCCTGTCTACGGTCACGGTACCATATTTTCGGAGCAATTTCTCATTGTTCTCCCTGAGGAGGTTTTGGAACCTCTGGATCAGGACCTCAGGGGGTAACTGGAAAAACACGTCCTGGGAATCAACAATAAGGACGAGATCTTCATCCTTTATTTGTGGGTTATAGGCCAGATAATTGTATATGCCGGCTATGCGGTCCACCATGGCAGCGTACTCTGTGTACCCCGTTGGAGGCGACTTGCCATAGCTAATCAACGTGGGCGGCGGGTAGTTCAGTATCATTGACGATGTCAACGTGCGACAAAGTGAGGCGGACTTTTGCGATGCAGGTATAAGAAGGTGGAAAGATGGTGTTGACTTTTGCAGATTAAGCGGAAGACTATCATTTCGGTGCAAAACATGACCGGGGGAAGTGAAGACCATCGGCAAGTCTTCAGGGCGCTCACGGGAGGGGGGATATGATGGATATCTCAACCAGTAGCTAACATGTGGCTAGAAGAAGAAGCGCTTCGTCAGTACCACTTTCTTGAGAAAGTAATTGCATTGTAGACATACTTGACTAGATCGCGACAGCAACAGCAGCGTGAAGAAGCATGTGGCGGCCAGGATCATGAGCGTTCTAACGGGACGAGCTCTGAGACGGCGAGGATGGAATTGTTGCTGCCATAGCATCGTCATTGACGAGCGCGCCGTATGATAATGATCGGCCCATGGGCCGTCTAGGATGCCCTGGAATGACATCCTGATAGCAGTGGAAGTGGAAACTTTGCTTGGACACTAGATTAGAGTACCGCTGCTCAGCAGCGGTGGACGGACGATCCGACTGAACGTCAGATCGTGGTCACTAGATAGGAACCGCTGGGTTAAGCCAAATGTAGAAGAGGGTCTTCCCAACGATAAGCATTCCTGCAAGCGGGACATGCGATCAGGAAGAGCAGCGAAGCTGACGGGGGGATATCGGATTAAGAGAAATCAATGGGGTTGCTAGGCGCCATGCTGAGGCAGAAAGGACAACAGTCAATGGTGACGACAGCAACGAGATGAAGAAGAAGAAGCCAGTGTCGGGGAAGAGATCCATGCCACGCGGACACAAAACGCGAAGAGGAGGAGGGAAAGTAGTTCAAGGTCGACTCGGGCGGGAGACCACTTCAGCAGCAGAAAAGTGACCGATTTGGGTGAGGATTTACGTCGGCGTGTGGAACCGGGCCAGGGACTGGGGGAAGGTAGCTGTCCGATCATTGGTCTGCCCTCCTCTTTTCTTTCTGCGGATTTCAATCGACTGGATGGATCATGAATTATGGACTCCTCGCTTTTCCCCTTTGGTTCCCGGCCCTGGCCTCCGTCGGTATTGCGATGTGCGAGTATCGCTCCCTGCACCCGTTAATGTCCCACCGCATCTTTATTTCTTTTTCCTTTTTATTTTCTCCCCCTGCTCTGCAGTACTTTGTCGGTCTCTAGCCGGGCCACGAAAGCTTATCTCCTTGTGGGATCAGTAGATCCATCCTCAAGTGCATCTGCATCCGTGAAGTTGTTCGCCTCAGCCCACGAAGGTCGGTTACTCAGCGGGAAACGCCATCGTTGGATCTGCCGCGTCATCGAGACTGCACATCCCATACTGCCCGTGCCCTCCCAGTTCTTGGCACGAATCGAATGGTGGTTTCAGATTGCTTGCTCATTAGTCCATCGCCGGCCCTATGTTCGGCCTACGTTGGGAACTGACGTCTCCCTATGCATGACTCCACATTGCCCATTCTACTTTGGACCTAGATTCCCCCGTCCATAACAAGCCATGCAAGCCCGGACGATTGCCGTCTCGACTCGTGTTCCATCTACGGCTTTGGATTGCATGAATAGAACAGACGATTACGAAGCAGGCGCTTCGACTAGCCACTTGGTAGTTCCGAGGGCGCCTGATAGTCTAGGCGGTAGTATGAACTGCATGAACCCCAGGCCCGTTGAGCCGGTTAGCTACTACCGAATCTTTATGGGAAAAGCCCGCCTATCACATAATTTTCCGGGGCTGAGGAAAAGCACACGGTACTATGGTAGACACACAGAAGCACACTGGCAATCCTTATGTACAATGCCAACGCCGCCAAAATGCAATCAATGGCCCAGAACAAATCAACAATACAACAATATACGACATTTCGAAGACCACCAACTCATTCCAGGTATATCTCTTCTCGCAGCCGTTGCAAATTGCGGAAGATGCCACCCCCCGGGCCTTCGCTTTCTTGCCGCCGATGACCCGTTGTTGGTCCCTTCGTAGACGATCCGGACGGCTGCTGGGACTGGTCGGATCGGCCCTGATTGTCTAGGGCCTTGCGACGGTCCTCCACGATCTTAGCCAGGCTGTCTACGAACCGAGTTCGGGCCTTCTCCTCCGCAGTGCCCTTCCAGACAAGTGCCAATGAACGTAGCGACTCAACACGTCGCGAGGCAGCTTCAACCCCCTCTTGCCCGCCACCGTTGCTATCTAAAAGCTCCGTTACTTCCTTTCGCAGCTTCTTAGCCACCTCTTGGCCCTTCTCCTCACGACTGTGGCTCTCAGGCCCCGGTTCCGGCGCCGACACCGAAATAAAAGATGATGTTATAGACGTCTCCGATGGCGGGAGGGGCCATTCCATGGCATCTCCGAAGGTCTGCACCACTTCTTCCAGTCGTGCCCGGACTTGGTTCAACGTCCGTAGCTTGGTAATATATTCAGGGTCCTGCACTGTGATTGTCTCCGCTCGCTCTCCCTGTTCTCCAGTATCTTCAGAATCCTCTGCTCCGGCGATCTTATCATTGTCCGCAGCGCCCGGGACAAATCTCTCAATATCACTCCGTAGTGCGTCCGTCAACGTGTCCGAAAGTCCAATAGTCTCTCCACGCAGCAATTCAACCTCGTAAGCTAATCGACCTCCGCTTCGTAAGATCTCATCGGTGAGTTGTGTAAGGGCTGTGGAATGTCGAGCATTCTGCGCGTTTATTTGTGAAAGGACGGACTGGACTTGTGTGGACAATTCGGGCAGGGAAGAGGCCCCCGCAGGACCCCGCGAGAGGTTCGTTTGAGATGACGCCAGCGTCAGCGCAGGAAGGGCATTGTTGAGGTACTCGGCGGGATCAAAGGACTGGTCAGTGAAGTCGGGTGTCATCTCGAGCGACGGGCGTGAGCTTGGTACTTTCGCGGCTGTAGGAGCCGGGCTGGGAGTCGGCGAAGGAGCCATTGTTTCGACAACAGTCTTCTTAGTCGGGAGGACAGATGGGCAACTACGCCCTGTTTCAGCGCTATTTCATAAATCGACAGCCCGCCGTAAAGGTCAAG